AATAGGAAGGAGTTTTGCTTGCGTTGAAGACAGGAAGAAGGATTTCTTGCTTTAAGGAAGAAGGAGTTATTTCCTGCGGTGAAGACAAGATAGGAAGGAGTTTTGCTTGCGTTGAAGACAGGAAGACGGATTTCTTGCTTTAAGGAGTTATTTCTTGCGGTGAAGACAAGGAGGAGTTCTTGCTTGAGGTGAAGTCAGGAAGAAGGAATTGTTGCTTGCGGTGTTTCCTTTCTTTGAACTTGTCTTCTGTTGTGGCTCTCGGATATAGAGAGAGAGGAAATAAAAAAATTCTTTCTTGTAATTGTTGAAGAGATCGACTGGTGTAATTTCTTCAATTAGTAAAATGCTCTGCAACTCCGTGGATTTAGGCAATTTACCGAACCACGTAAATCTGTGTGTTCTTTTCTGTTGTGACTTTTCTCGTTTTATTTTTCACTTCATCGTCGATCGTTTTAAATTTCATATATACCACAACACATATGATGTTCTAAATGTTTTTTAAGAATATAATGATAAAATTAAATTTAAAATATTTTGAGTAATTTGGTGTTCACAGTTTCTTAAACGAGTTGATCACAAGCTAATAAACTGAGTCAAGGCTGGTTCTAGTTTTATTTATTATCTCATCAAGGTTAGCTCAAGAGTCCCTTATTATCAAGCCAAGCCTGAGCCATTTGGCTAAATCCAAATCACACCTCGAGCGGTGGCTATTAACATGAATAGTTATTTTTAAAAACATTCAAAACACCCAAAATGATTTTGAGCATATTTAAGAATAAATTGATTTAATTTTAAGAATAAAAAATAAAAATGTGATAATTATGCTAAACAAATATGTCTTTAAAAATATAAATATAAATTAAAAAATAAAAATAATCCCAAACAAGCCATTCATGATTCTCATGTCTAGTGCTTACGAGTTGCTCTCCCATTAAATCATTTGTTTGTAGCACTTGGTGAACCTTCAAATTTATAAGCATGGCTAAGGTCCAAAAGGTTTTAAGTGACATTTGAATCTATAATTAGTCTATATTAAACTAACAAATCTCAGCCAACCGTAAAAACCATTGTCTAAACTATCTTCTAGGTAACTTCAGCTCGCCTTGAAATCTAAATAATATATTTTGATATAGTAAATTCTATTGGAGCTACAAAATCATGAGTATGACTAAACTAAACCACATACATTTCAATTCAACTTTTTTTTTTAACTTTCAATGCCATATATTTGAATGATTAATATGCAACTTATACCTTCTAAAATGACTTTTCATATTTATCAATGATGATTGCTTTATTTCATATATACAATATGAAAGTAATACTTGGCTCTCACAATAATTTGTATAAACTTCCTATAAAAAAAA